GGTCCTGGCGGTGAGGACAAGGGTCCTGGCGGTGAGGACAAGGGTCCTGGCGGTGAGGACAAGGTTCCTGGCGGTGAGGACAAGATTCCTGGCGGTGAAGACAAGGTTCCTGGCGCTGACTGACACGCACTCAAACTTGTAAGTTAATTAATATGATGTAGTTTTTAACTGACAGGTAGAGAAATGAGAGAACTTAAACCGTAGATACTGTACCATGCATTAAACATAGTCTTAATAAACCTATTATTATATTATTTTATGAGAATCTAGTTTTCCGTGAAATTGCTTTTTTAAGACACGTGAATCGTAAAACGGCTTTTTTTTCCTTGTGAAACGTGATCCATACCCCCCTTTCCTAGACTCTCTCTATTTCCTGAATTAAATACGAATTTAAAAGGTAATATTTATGTATTACAGTGCGTCTACTGTAAGTGGGGCCACTTAGAGAACACTAACCAATCGCATTGCAGAACAAAAAGAAAAATCTAATCAAACTAAAGCTCGTCCAATCAAAAGGAAGATTCAGGAAGCCATTAACTGCTGCAGTGTTTACTTTTACAAGTCTATTTTTACCGTTTGACATTCGTTTATTTGTTCGAATTGTTTTTGCCCTAATGCTGATTGGCTAATGCGCTGTTTGTTGATTTTTTCACTTTCTGTTTTGCAATGTGATTGGTTAGTGTTCTCTAAGTGGCCCCACTTACAGTAGACGCACTGTAATCCGCTGAACAATGAAATTGCATGCTATGCTTGCGCTGTGTGCCCACGGCATTTGTACCTGCGGATACACAGTGGACACTAAACCCTTGCTAAAATTTGACTAAATAGGCCAAAATTTTACCAGATTTGATTGATAGTATTTTGTCTGAATCAGTTTCGGGGTCTGATTCAGACAAAATACTATCCATTAAATCCATATTTTTAAAAGTAAGTTTGCAATTTCGAAGTGAAATTCGTCAAATGCCCAATTTTCAGCTGCGGGCGCTACTTCATGTTATTCGTTCAAAAGAGGTGACAAATTAAATGACGTAACCTGAAGCATGCAATGAGCAAACAGAACACAAGCTCCGATTCAGAAGTGAGCCATCGCCACAGCATCAGGAAGGCATGTACTTTGCAGGGTTTTCTTGTCATCATCAAACGTGTTACAAGAAAATGCCAAAAAATCGGGAAATAAGAGTTGCCTGCGGAGGAGGCTATACTTTATGCAATTTCAAAAAAATTCAAGCCAAATTCGTCCATCTAGTGTTTTGTATATAGATCAGTGGGATATTTGGGATATTTCCATTTTCAAAAGATCCACAAAATGTGGAGACCTAGAAACCCTGCATAGTTGCTGGCACAGTTCCCTTGCAACTAAAAAATTGACATGTGTTACGGATATCAAGAATTTGTTTTCCCGAAAGAGTGAAAGAGCGCCAGGAAAATGAAAGTTACAAAATTTTGAAAACATTTGTCTTGTGCTTTAACAAAGAAATACGCTTCGCTACGCTACGCTACGACTTCGCTACGCTACGCTACAGGCTTAAAAGCCAGTTTTCCACTTCAACCGTACCGAAGCGTATCAAAAACATTTTTAAATTTCAAAATTTAGTGAATGTTGATTAGTGAATACTTCCGTAGTACGCCAATCAAGTACGTGGATTTATTAACCTCTTTTACGTTTCGGTACGGCAAAGTTGAAGTGGAAGATTGGAAAAGCTCGGCGAAATATTATCTCACCTCCGTTCATAGCATAAATTATTTATTAAGTTTTAATTCTATAGGATTATACGGAAGGTCTTTTTTCCAATATTTTATTATAAAATATTGAAAAAAAGACCTTAATACCCGTACAATCCTTTGGAATTAAAAATTAAAAAATAGCTACTTAGCAAAATCTAATTCACCTCATTACTGCACTGCATTCACACAAAAACAGAAAATAAATTCTCTCGATTACCCATCCTGTCAAACTAAGTGAAAAAATTTCGGTTACCTGATCCGCTAGCAAAAAATTCCCGGTCTACTTCATCAGTTGACGATGATCTTAATAAACATCACATCATCCTTGATGTATTGACGGTTATTCAAGCTACCAAGAGGCACAAGGCACTGGAAACCTGAAGGGATATTCATATCAGACTTCGGACGTTGAAATGAAGCGGAACGCGGAGGAACTGAGTAAAACTCATCAATCATATGATCTCCATTGGCAATATTGCCTTGATCCAACAGCATCATCGTAATCTTCTTTTGAAATGGCCAGGTTAGAAGAGCATCGTAGTCGCCTTTTGATAATAATTTAGAATATTAATCAAATTATTGTCATATACGACAATCACTATACACAATCATAGTCTTTGGAGAATGATCTGGAAACTCAGTAAACTTCAAAGCGGTTTTAATGAGCTGAGATTTTATGTTGAGCCGTACCTTACACCGTGCACACCCTTTGTTTTAGTTTTATTAATATTTAAATGGCATGGTTGAATGACTGAACTGAAACGTCGCTATTGGATGATTCGTTCATTATACTGAAATACAATCTGTTCATTGACCATGCACCGTGCACAAAACCGCATAAACGCGAACAAAAAGATAGAAGAAAGACTTCAGCGGAGTTTCCAAACAATAGTTTGAAAGACTATGACACAATGGAGCCTTTCATAAACATACGATAGCAAGTGCCATCTAATCCTGGGTGCATTAATGTTTACAACATGCATGGCACCATCCCACTCATGGCTTGCGTATCAAACACTTTGCTAAATATAACTAAGCACAACAAAATTCTTCGCAAGTAATCAACTCACCTTTCTTCACAACAAGATACAACGAGCCATCTCCCAAGCCATCTCCATTCATGTAAATTTTAGCACACATCTTGTAACCATACTGAGCGCTGTAGAAAGGTGGACTGTACAAGGCAGTCTTCACTCCGTTGATAGCATCTTGCCGTTTTCTCTGGTAGCTTTCAATCTTCCACAGTAGAGTGCCACTGTAACTGTGGATAACTTGTTGTGCACGCGGAACTCTTTGGGACTCCAAATCGGTAATTTTGACTGCATTCAGAGCAAGAGACTCATCCATTTGATCCATCCTACTTCGCAAACGATCAATAATTGCGACCTTATCTCTCACTTCTCGCTCCAGACTCATATTCCGTTCACGGAAGTTGCCGCATTCGACAGTAAGGTCTCTAACCTTACTCTTCATCTCCTGCAATTCGCTTCTATTTCTTGTATCACCCCCACCACTGGCACTGGACTCCAAACTTTCAACCCGTCTTTCCAAGCCAGTCAACTTTCCGACAACCATGACAAACTTCTCGGCCAAGCCAGAGCGAACCTCATTAATGCCAACATCCCTGTATATTCTGGACGTGGGATGAGAAGTCGTTTAGTTGAGAAGCTACGGCGAGAGTATACCGCAGTAGTTGACCACCATGTTCTATCAATCCATCACTCAAATGTTGGCGCAGTTCCTTTCGTTTCAAAGTCTACAAATTGTCATCAAAGATGAATAAATGCAATGACGTAAGTATACTTGTCTGTTATATACCATGCATGTAAATGAATTAAGTGATTACTTAGTTAGAATATGCTATATTCAAAAATTCTCTTCCTCAGAACATCCTCCCAAATTTCATTTTCACTATCGTTAGGCTCGTTTTCTAGACTTTTTGGGCAGATTATTATATTGAACTTTGCCCATGCAACTGTGAATAAGAGGTTGAGCATCTGTATTTTTGGGTAACTTTTATTAATTTCTACTACACGTTCTTTTACTGCCCACTGATAGTGTTATTATACGTGTGGAAACTGAACTCAACTTATACTGAATAGCTCTATCAATTCTAAGACGCCCAATAAAACGAAGAGACATTTTATTATGGAGGATAAAACAGAAATATGGGCAGAAAACCTGCGGTGTTTGATAGAGTCAGACCGGAACCACATGCACTTACATTCTCACATGCAACTAAGTCTAAGACGACACAGCAACAACAACAACTGCAGTATTACTTTATCCTGATTGCAGCCCACAGACTCATATTCACAAGTCGCTGGAGCCTCATTGCAATCGTGTCTCTCGTGTTTTTCAATGACCTTTCTCAAAAAATCTTCCTTACAGTATTTGCAAGTCACGGGTGCACCTTCACAGCTCGTACGAACATGTTTCTATATAGACGAACAGCGAGCATAATTAAGTAAACTGGTTTGAGGCTAACAATATAGAAGATTTTACACGGCGGCGCGAAGATATGACTTATATCTTCGAGTGGTGAAAACAATATTTTACAAACGAGCGCAGCGAGTCAGAGATAAAAGACACGAGAAGTAAAAGTCATATCTTCAAGCCAAAATTGTGAAGTTTCACGCTCAAAAGCGTGAAAAAAGTCACGTGAACGATATATAAAATATATCTCACTGTGTATTTTTCAGTATCTCACTATCTACTGTACATATTATTAACACGAGCTGACTTGCCGAGTTGGTCAAACTGCATGACTTCAAAAGGAGACAGGTGGATTTACTCTCTATCGTTAATAATTTCCGACCAGGAAACATAAAGAAAATCATGACCGTAAAATCTAAAAGATCTTGTATATTTGGAACGGTTTTCATCAAGACGAATCACATGCAATCGTTATTTCGGTTCGTGTAGTCGTGTTTTCCCCTGATAATATTCAAAATGGCGGACGTATATGGTATATATGGTATTATATATATGGTATTTTCGCTTAAAGTTAAAGTGGTGTAAACAATATGAAAACTTATAATAGGCATAGTTGGACTGGAGTCATGCACTGGACAGGACAGCTGCATGGACTGGACCGATTTTTTTCTCGACAATTAAATATTAATCGTAATCAGTCTATATCAATAGTTTTTTTGAAGGTCTGCATGTAACCATTTCTACGTGTTAATAAATTAAACTAAAAGAGATCATGTCCAGTGGCAGTGAGGTAACAAATATATGAACACTTGAGAACTCGACTGTTTCTTACAGTATATACGCTCCATGAAATGCTCCATCGACACCATACTGTTAAGAATCTTTGTACATCAGTTTAAGACTTTTATTACATTGATGTTCGTGTCAGCTGTTTCGAAACTCATCAAACATTTTTTAACGTCAAAACTGTTAACAGTAAATAACAGTACAGAATTGACCATTTGCGTAATAGACTAAATTCTGATCTAAACAAGTCTAGACAAAAATTTTATCACAGCTTGAAGGAGCATCACAAAATTAGTAATATTCCAAAGTTTCGTTGCAAAATGTTGTAAAATGCGGATAATATAGCCTTGCGAAGTTTGCCGTTTTTCAGTCATTTTGTATTACAAACGGGAAATTGACAGCCTCAAACCCATCGAGGCTGTCAATTTCCGGTTTGTAATCTAAAATGACTGAAAATTGCAAACTTCGCAAGGCTATATTTTCCGCATTTTACAACATTTTGCAACGAAACGTTGGAATATTACTAATTTTGTGATGCTCTTTCAAGCTGTAATGA